TAATTTCCATGGTTTTTAGATGGAACAACTACTTGGATGCTTTACACTTTTTTGGACCGTATATCTAGAAATGCGGTCCATCCCACATGAAACAATTTTCTATACATAAAAACCTTAAAAAATATATAAGGTATTACAAAATGTATTATTTTGGGACATAAATTTTTTTTTCTTCCATACATCCAATGCATAAATTATTTTTTCTTCCATACATGTAATGTTGAGATGATCAATTAGATGGTTTCCCACACTAAAACAAAACAGTCATTGTTTGATGGAATTTTAAGGTGTAGTTTAATTCTACAATTTACAATGTCAACCTTCTATAAAAATTTTCCAAACAAAAAATCTAGAAAATTTGAGAGAATAATCTCTAAATTTCAAAAGCTCATTTCTTAAAATAATTGATTTTTTTTAATTTTTTGGACTTTAAGCTTAGATGGAGTTGTTTCTAATGTTTCACGCGCACATTCCTCAATCTAACAAAAATTTTAAAATAAAATCATGGAAAAAGGACTCGAGCTTCAAGACATATGGGATTGATTGCAAGAACATGAAAGGCCAATGCGCAAACCCCTAAACCCAAGCAATCGAGCAAAAAATGTTAATAAAATAATTTTCCATTTCAATGTAACACAGGCTTTCCCGTTCTCCCTATGTGACCACCACTTGACACGTAATAACTCCATGAGAGAGTGCACTCGAAGCAAACTAGAAGTTCAGGCACGTGGGAGGACATACGTGTGCAAGTGACACGAGTGATGAATTCAAATAAGTGTCTTAAAAATATTAAAAAATTGTGGACACAACGTGCGCATGATTCTTCTTTGACTGATCTCTGCACTCGAATTATTATTTTAATGAGACGAGTTTGGATCGCTGTGACCGCCGTGAAAGAAGAGGCGAAACGTACGGCTAGCACGTGGCTGTTTTCCCTTGTACTTTAGAACCGAAACATCGTGCCGAAATATCATCAGGTTTCGTATTCCTCTTGACGAAATTTCGGTTGGAAACTTCGATTTCGGGTGAATTCGATTCGGTCAAAGAAATTTCAGCTGCCCTTCGGTTGTTTTGTTTTTTGTTTTTGTTTTTTTTAAAAAACAAGAAGTTGTCCTTCGGTTATTCGGGTGATTCAGGTTTACTTTGTGTTGCATCGCTAGATCGTTTAGGTTGGGGTAAGCTCAAATTAGCAATCTGAAAAATATTAAAAATAAAATAAAATTCTAAATAGAGGTGGGGATTCAGTTGGACTTAAAAAAAATTAGATAAATTTTAAAAAAAAGATAAAAAAAAATATAACAAGAGTTTTAGTGGGAATAGGGACCAATACTATCTTGAAACTGGTTCGGTTCTAACCACACGACTTTTCATATCTGAAGTAACTTGGTTTTAAAACACTAGTTTACGAGGACAACGTGACAGCTGAAGAGTGATTGAAAAATGGGTGAGTTGAGGCGCACCGGTCTGAATTGAGGAAGAGTAAAGGTTGTTGAGAATCCGGCGGTCCACTGTTGGGGACTTAAGTGACTTTCAAATTTCTTGTTAAAAAAAATACAAGAAATTCGAAACCAACATTTGATGATTTACGATTTCGTTTTCTACGTTTTAACTTTCATTCTAAAAATATATAAAAAGTTTAAACCAACTATCCTCGTTCAATATTTAAACCTTGACTAAGTAGAGGCAGTTTAGTATTCGACCCATCTTGAACAAGCAGGAGTGCACCTTCTCATTTTGTTGGGCCCTCTTAAGTGAGTCATATTACAAAAAAAAAGTATTTCTACTTGTTCAATGTTATCAACCCTAATCAGCGTGCTCAAGATACGTATGAGAAAGTAAAAGTTTTAAAACTAAACCATCTAATATTAATAGGAGCATTTCGATCCCTTTGATTATGTAACGAGGTATAAATCTTTAAGCAATATTTTCCTTCTTTTTTTTCTTTTTATATGTAATTTCCTTGGTGAAAAAAGTCTAGTACTGCTTAAAAAGATCCAAAGAACTTCCATTCAAGAAAAAGTAACTATTTGCCTGATGGAGTTATTGTACTGTGTGCTCCCGTGGGAGCATGCTATAGTCCCCACACAAGGAAAACCCGATTTTTATAGGTTCTAGAATGCTACGCTGTGTGAGCAGTTCACTGAAGAAACACGAAAAGTGGCCCAGAATTGTCGGGATTAAAACAAGTCCCTTGGATTTTGCGGAAAACTCGGGAGTCAAAACCAACCATTGTTAGTGTGATGTTGTAATGCCAATATTTTGCACTTGTTTCCAAGGAAAATGACATTGTAGAGAGAGAGACTTGCCTCTTCTCAAACCTCATGTGTGACACAGTAACTTGCCTCATGAGAGAGAGTGAGAGAGATTCCCTTCTCAAACCCTTCTTAAACCACATGAGAGAGAGAGACATGCCCTTCTCAAACCAGTAAGAGAGAGAGAGAGAGAGAGAGAGAGGAGGTAGGTAGGTAGTTCGACGAACGTTAACTTTCGTTACTAACTTTAATTTACTTGTAGTTACTACGTAAGTTAAAGTTAAAGTAAATTAAACCTACGTAGAAGTAAGTTAGTAC